GGGGCCCCCAGCCGGTGGGTTTCGTCCTCTCTCCAGCAACCCCTGGTGCAACCCCTGGGAGCTCAGGGGCGACCGTGCTGGCACCGTCCCATCCTACCCCGGTGGCTCTCGGCCAGGGGCATGACCCGTCTCCTAACGCCACACCAAGTCCTCGGGGTGGCTCAGAGGGGGCCAGCAGCGGGCTCTGGCCAGGGGGTGCTGGTGACTGAGCGCGGTGCAGCACGGTGGAATGGGCTGCCCGCCTGCCGCCCTCTAATTTTAGCCCCATGCTGCCGGGATCATGTGCTGCCGGCCCGCCGGCCGACAGCTGCAGCCCACATTTTGACAATGATGAAAAGCAGACGCCTTCCCCGGTGCCCACCTACCCCTGCCCCAGCCCCCCCCGGGCTGCACGAGCCACCCCGCTCCCCCTGCAGCTCCAGCACAGGGTGGGACCGATGGGGCTCAGCCCCACATGGGACCCCATCGCCTGCTGGCCCCGCCATGCTCCGGGGCGGAGTGGGGGGGGGCCGGCAAGCCCTTGGGCTGTGTGTGGGATGGGCAGCCTACAAGAGATGCTTTTGAATTTCTTGCCCTTTGATGCTCGGTGTCCGCCGCGTCTCCCGGCGCGGGGCCTGACACCGGATCCCCCCAGCTGTTGGACTCCTCCAGCCCCACCGCACGCTGCCCACAAGTGCTAAATGTGTCAGCACAATCCCCCCACGACAAATGCAGATACCAACCCTGGCCGTGGCCCTCTCCCCTGGCACCTGGCTGGGCCGGCGGTCCCCATCTCCCCCCTGCCCACCTACTACACCCGACTCCTGGGGCGCCTTGGCAAAGCACCCCGAAACACCCATCCAACACCCAGCAGCTGCCGCCAGCCCGCTCAGCCGCTGTATCAGGCTTGGCCACCTTGTCCCACCTCTGCCAGGGCCATCCCCAGCGCTGGGGAGTGCTGGAGGTGGCAGCAAGCGGAGGAGCTCTGCAGCCACCTGGCTCCATGTTGGTTCCATGCCTGGGAACGGCCGGGACCTGCTGATCCCTGCCTCTGGAATCCCAGCTGCACAGCTTGCTCGGAGGCAGCAGGGTGTCCCCAGAGATGACAGCTCTCAGCAAGGCCACAGGGGTAGGGGGGCTTGTGGCTGCACCGAGACCTCTCCCATGCAAGGGCAGGGCTGCCACGCTCTGCCCCTGCTCCTGTGTCTCCGTGCAGATGTAGGGGGGCAGGAGGAGAGTGGGGGTCCCTGCAGGATCAGCGCCCTCCCACCTGGGGAGCGACCCAGGGGACCCTGCTGCCATCTGGCTGCAGTGGCACCTGGGGACCTTTCCGAGGCTTTCCCGGTGCAGAGGATGCTCTCCCCGAGACACAAACACCTCCAGAAGGACACAAAACCAACTGCTCTGAGCCCTGGCTGCCCCCAGCACCTGCATCCCCAACCCCAGCACAAGCCATTTGGGTGGGCACATGCAAACCCCCAAAACCTAAACCTCTGGGGACTGCTGTGCCTCAGCCAGACACCTTTTCTCTTGCACCCTCAGCCACCAGCCAGCCTGGAGGTACCAGATGATCTGGCTTGGGCCACCACCCAATGCCACGTGTCCCCAGAGGCACCGGGCTGCAACCTTACCCCCCCTGAGACACTCATGGCAAAGCCAGCTCTCCAGGGACCCTATGGGTTTGCCCTGGGCACACTGCAAGACAAGGAGGTGAGCCCCAGAGATGGCACCTACCGGAGAAGTTTCTGGTGGCCAGCATGGTGGTGAGGATGGCTCCCTGAAAGACACAGAAAGCAGAAGGAAAGGGTGTGCTGGGCCCCGGCCCCCCACACCCTTGCCACTCCCCCCAGCCCTGGGGGAGGAAAGCCCTGTGTGTCACCTGTCCCCCGGCCACCTCGCTGGAAGGAAACTGGCCCACGGGCTGATATTTCTCCTCCTGTCATCAAAAGCAGCCCACAGTACCCAACCCCGTATCCCCAGCACCAGGGCGTTGGGTTGCATTCTCCGAAACTACTTTTCCTCCAAGATTAAAGGGATATTAAATATCCCTGGGGCGCATTTTGGTCTCGCTCTACCCTGCCCTGAATGTGGCATGACTCCGCTGACCAGGGCCGGCAGCTGGCGGTGAGGGGAGCCACCAGGAGCGGAACCGGATTTAATTGCAATTAAACCCGTGCCAGCTATGAGCAGCAGGGCAGGAATTTTTCATGGGAGCCACGCAAAGATCACCACCACAAAATAACATTCATAAAAATGTTTCCTCTTTTCCAGCTGACTCTACTAACTAGTTGCTCAGCATATAATGAGATTACTTTCGACTAATTGCTTACAGTAATGGATTACTATTTTGAAGGGTATGCCTGAACTAATTTGATTACTTGTCTAGCTGAAAAGTAATAATAGTTTATAGCCAGTTTCTTTTCTTGATAATCGTGTTAGCAGCCTGCAGCTGCACTGCTCAGCGCCGCACTGCCTTCAGGCCTGGAGCGCTGATGGCCCTGGCCGCGGCACCGATCAGCGCCAGCCCGTTCTGTGCCTCCGGCTCTGGAGGAGGCATTGCCATTTCCAGAGCCCGTGCCCAGCGCCGTGCTGCCGGCTGGGGCTGAGCACCACCCAGGAGACGGGTGCTTAGGGACATGCTCCAGCTCGATGGTGAAGCCTGGGAAGATGGTGATTTCAGAGGGGGTATGGGCTGTGGCACGTGGCAGCGTCTGAGAAGGGAAAGCCTGCGGGGCTGCTGGCTGGGTGAGCTGGAGCTTTTTGCCCGTCTATGGATGACTTTGTTCCTTGGCTGTGACGTAGCTCGGTCATCAGGCAAAGGGGTCTCACAGCGCCTCTCAGACCCCTCTCCTGCCCCAAAGAGGAGCTTTCTTTACACTGACTCCCATGGGAAAGTCCCTGACCCAGTGTGCAGGGCAGCTGTGTGCCTCAGTGCTTTCCTTCACCATGGCTTTCCTCTAAGCACTTGGGAACCCCAGCCAGATGCGGCCACTACTCCACTTGGCCTCTTTTCCCTTCTTCACACCGAGCATCCCCAAACATCCATCACCCCCACACCGCTGACCCGGAGACACCACCCTGTCCTTTCCCACTCGGGGAACAGACTCCCCAATGTCCTTATCATGCATTTTGCAGCCAGCTTGGAGACTATGAGAGTTACCTTCAGCTTCCTCCGGGCATTGAACTTCTTCAGGCAATCCACTGTCTCCTGCCTGTGCATGCATGATGCCACGGTGGCACGGTGCTGGGAGGAGAGAGATGGGGCTCAGAGCAGGCACAGGGGGCTCAGGGGCTCCCCCAGCCCTGCTCTCACACGCACGCACACGTGTGCGGTCTCCCGCGGCCGAGGCACGGGCCAGAGCTGCCTGCAGCAGCAGCAGCCGATAAAACTTTAATAGGCAGCAGGAGATCTCAGCTCTGGAGTCAGCAGGATCTGCTCTGGCGGTGGGGGGGGTTGCAGGGAGAGCTGGCTTCCCCCCAAGTTAACCCCTCGACTGACCGGCCACGTTTAGCAGCGCACTCGGGGTTTCCACGTGGTGTGGGGTCCCAGGGTTAAGCCCATGGACTCCTCCTGCCTTTGGGAGCTGATTCAGAGAGAGAACCGGCATCCAGAGCAGCGGGTTGCAGCGAGGGGCAGGGGGCACTACTGCTGGGGTGGACAGATGGGCAAACACAAGACTACTCCCACCCAGCCCAGCCCAGCGTGACACCAAGAAACCAGCCTGTCCCCACAAGGGCTGGGAACGTGCGTGTCCCTCCTGTCACAAGCTCCCCTGGGACCTGCTGTTTGCATTCACACTCCAGGCTTTTCTCTGCTGTAAAGCCTTGGGGAAAAGGCTGCTTTAAGAGCACTGGGAGGAACCGTGCCAGGAGACCATTCTTCCCAGGGTGGAGAGAAGAGATGGACAGCATGTTTGATAACACATGCTCCCGAGTGAGATGTTCCCCCACTGCAAACCCCCACATCTCTGGACCGTCAACCCCAACTGGTGAGTGCCGGCAAACTCACCGATATCCAGGGGTGCTTCAGAGCCTCTGCTGCCGTGATGCGCTTGGACGGGTTTATGGTCAACATCTTGTTGATGAGATCTTTCGCTTCGGGAGTGACCGTGTCCCACTCAGGGGAGGGGAACTGCCAAAGCAAAGGGACTGGTGTGAGAAATGGCAGGGAGCGACGGAAGGAGCAGAATTCCCTTTGCACTTGGGTTGGTTCTCCTGCAAACCCTTTGCTCCTGCCCACAGGACAGGTTGGAGAGACAGCAGCAACTGGAAAGAGCTACCAGCTGGAAAACTGGAGAGCAGGGGTGGAGGGAGAAAGGTGGAAGGCCCAGGACAAGAACTATCCATCCTGCAAAGTCCATCTGAAACGTGCCAGTGTGTGTGCCTGGGCACGGCAGCTCGGCCAACACTCTGTGACCAGAGCAGAGGAAAGAAACTTGCTCCAGCTGCTCTGAATTTGCCCTGATCGCTCTTCTGGAGCAGCAGACTGCAACACAGGGACGGCAGGAGAGAGAGGAGACAGTGAAAGGGGGGAACAAGACAAACCCACTCACATCATAAGCCCCAGCCTTGATCTGCTGGTAGAGTCGGTGCTGGTCTTCATCCCAAAAGGGTGGGTACCCAACCAGCAGGATGTAGAGGATGACGCCTGCCCGGGAGAGGAGACGTGGAATCAGTGGGAGAGAGCTCATTGCTGGAGGTATGAGCAGACCCAGCCTGGGGAGTGACCCAGCTCAAGCAGAGGAACTGAGAAATCAGGGAAATAGAAGGATTTGCTCCCTGATTGAAAAGCAGAAGGCTCACTGGTGGGTCTAGCTCCATGCTGACCCTCAGCCGCTGGGACATATGTGGCTGAGCCAGACACAGCTCTGGCAGCCAGCGTGCACAGCCTCAAGCCAGGTGCCCCATCAGGGCTGGGCGACGCCTCCTCCCCATCGTGGGTGGAAGAAGGCTCCCCTGTGCGGAGGCATTGCCTGACTCCACCAGCATCCAGGGCAGAAGAGCCAGCACCTCCCCTGCCTGGGGGCTTTGGGTGCGTAGCAAGGGGGCTGATCCTTCAGAGGAGGGTGCACTGGACTGGGAAGGAGGGTCCTGCTTTGGGGACAGCCCAGGGTAATGTGCCACCTCTTGGATAAATCCTCCACCCTGACCTCCCCAAGACGTGTCTAGCGACTGCGGCTTGGGATGTGCTGGATCAACAGCCTGCCTCATCCCATGCAGCCCAGCCCAGCCCACTCCCAGCCCTTCAGCCCCAGTCTGACTTACCGCAAGCCCACAGGTCCACGGCTTTGCCGTAGGGATCCTTCCGGAGCACCTCGGGGGAGAGGTATCCTGGGGTGCCAGCGAAACCTGGGACAGACAGCCCATCACGCACCGCCGGCAGGCAGCCCCCAGCCCCACACAGCTTGCCTGGTGCCTGGCCAGCCGCCACGAGAGCCAGGGGCCCTGGCGTGCGCCGAGCCAGTGGGACGGGCACCCTCCCTTCAGAAACCTCTGTGTCTCCCGAGAGCAGAGCAAACGCCAACAGCCAGCCACAGCAGCCAAACCCCAGGATGGTGCAGAAGCCTGGGGTGCTCTGGCGTGCACCTCCAGCACGGGGATGAGGTTTTCCTTCCTCGGGTCTGCCCCTGCCATCAGCCTGTCCAGCTCACTGGGACATCTCAGTGACTCACCAGGTCCCTGTGGAGCTGTTTGCCTGTGCCCTGGATCAATACCAGGCTGTTTTCAGGGGCACAGCTGGAGCCATCGAACTCCTCCTCATCCACCATGCCTCCCATAGCTCAGAGTTCAGGTCCTGGGGATGTGCATCCCTCCCAGAGCCCCCCCTGACCAAATACACCAACGAGGGCTGGAGGATTCCGCACCTCAGGCCAGTTCTACTCACCAAACCATGCTTGCTGGTCCCCCTCCACCTCGATGGCAAGGCCGAAGTCAGCCAGCTTGACAGCGGCACCCTTCAGCTTGGATGCCAGCAGCAGGTTCTCAGGCTGCAGGAGGAGACAGGGGTTGGAGAGGAGTGAAACCCCCCGGGGTGTCTGCTGTCTCAGGGGAGCTTCCCGGCACAGCATGGAGGAAGGTCAGGGCTCTGGATGTGCTACCCTACCGCTTTGTCCTGCTGTGTATTGTGATGTCCATGGATTTTTAGAGGACCACAGACTACAGGGACCTCCCTAACCCCTCTCCCTCATGCTGTTTCATCCCAGAGCTGGTCTTTGCTCTGTGGCTTTCCAGAAGCCCTACATGGTGTTCCTCCCTGCCGAGTTTCAGCTGCCCTGGAGGACCCTGGGCATTGCTCCATGGGGTTTGGCATTGCAGATGGGTTGCCCATGTCCTCCCACAAGCCCTTCCCCTGCAGCTCTTACCTTCAGATCCCGGTGGACCACCCCCATCTGGTGGCAGTGCAGGACGGCCTCCAGGATCTGCTGGATGCAGTGGCTGTGGAAGAGAGGAGAAAGCTCACCGAAGGGTCCAGAGAGGCAGAGTTTACTTAGACACTTCTACATGGCTGCATTTCATCCCTCTCCCCATCATGCTTCCCACCAGCAGCCCTACAGCACAGCTCAGCATCCCTCTCCACTGAAAACCACACACCTGTGGAGAGCAGCTATAACCCATTAAGACCCCACCAGAGCTGCTGGACACCCAGCCATGGTGAGCAGGATCACGGGGGCTATGGCAGAGCCCATGGGGTCCCCAAGGAAGCAACACCGGGAGGGGGGGGAGCTGGAGACCAGCAGTGGAGTCACAAGGCCAGCCCAGATTTGGTCTCCAAACCCCGGCAGAGCAGACATGCTCCTCAGAGGTAGAGCTAACCTTTGCTTCGGCCCCATTTCCCTGGCCTCCCCTAACGCTGGTGGCTCTCGCTGCGCCTGTTCACTTTATATCTAGTTCATTAAACCCCAGCTCTGCTGCACGCTTGAGAAAGGAAGGGAAAAAGACTGAGGTGATGATCACCGCTGCTCCAAAACGGTTGTGTGCAAGGCAGAAGGTCTTTATTTACAGGTATTTTATTTTATTTGCATGACACTAACAAGTGGATGGGTTGTAAGTGGAGTCAGTGCAGGCAGCCCATTAAATGAGATTGCCTTGTGCCTAGAAATATGGGATAATTCCATGCAGACAGGTAGCGTAGAGCTTACCACCCCCTTGGTCATTTGTATGGGCTATGCTTATGCTGGGAGCAAAGCCAAGAGGCACAGTGATATCTGGTGACTGGAGAGGGCCAAATCATGTCCCCTCAAAAAAACCGAGGCTAATGCTGTCCCTTGGCCAAGCTGCAAGGACCAAAGGGGCGGCTGAAATGGTACCCAGCCCCCTGCCTCTGCAGCAGGTACCTGGGAAGCGCCAGCAGGAGCGTGGGACAGAGCAGAGCTCCAGCACATCCTCCCACCCTGCCTGCCTTGACTGCTCCTCCTTAGTGCTTTCAAGCAGTAAACGCCAGGGAAACCACTTGCAAATGACTGTAATGCAGCTGCAAGGGGAAAGGGTGAGGACTGCGGGGTGTCTGTGCTACCACGGTCCTGGACAGGGCAACAGCCCAACACTGGGCTTCCTCCCTGCCAGCCTGGACACCCCCGATGCCCCCAGCCTGGGGACCCCCAATGCAGGCTCCTTTACAAGGAGGTCAGATGCGGGTACTCCATTGCCATCAGCCCGGGGAAGGATGCTGCTGCGAGTGATGGCCGGCTGCTGCCTGGTCTGAGGGGGGACCAGCCCTGTGATAAAATCTTTTTAGTAGGGCCAGCTGTGTCAGGACAAGGGGTAATGGTTTTAAACTAAAACAGGGTAGGTTTAGACTAGATATAAGGAAGAAATTCTTTACAATGAGGGTGGTAAAACACTGGAACAGGTTGCCCAGAGAGGTAGTGGAGGCCCCATCCCTGGAAACATTCAAGGCCAGGTTGGACGGGGCTCTGAGCAACCTGATCTAGTTAGCGGTGTCCCTGCTCACTGCAGGGGGGTTGGACTAGATGACCTCTAGGGGTCTCTTCCAACTCAAAACATTCTATGATTCTATGAACACACACGTTTCTTGGCACAGGAGCTGAGCGAGTTAAAAAGAAGTGGGCTTGGGTTTGGTTTTTTTTTTGCACTACACATCTGGTTTATGAGTACACCCTGTGGAGTGGCTGTAAAACACCTCCCAGCATGGAAAGAGCTTTTGCTGCAGAAAGCCAGACACGTTGGACCCTGGGAGGGAGAAACTCGTGGGAGAAGGGGACAACGGCTGCTCCTTCCATGGCCCGGCGTGCGGCCGTGCTCACCTGGCATCGGCTTCGCTGTAGTACTCCCTGGCCACAATGTCCTCAAACAGCTCCCCGCCGGTGACCCTGCCAGAGAACAGGGACAGTCACGCCCGGCCATCTCAGCACAGCAGGCAAGGGGGCTGGATTGATTTACAGCACTCTCAGCCCTGGCAAACCCCCCCCAAAATGCCACTGCACCGTGCCTGGAGGGGAGCGTGGGGGGTGCAGGGTGGGGACCCGCCCTCTGCTTGGGGACCCAAGCTTGGCTCAAACGCAGCCTGCGGGGCCAGTGGATTATCAGATGCATTTAACCATTACTCACAGGTCAAATATCAGGTAGTGGTGGCCCTCTTCGGAGATGCTGTCATGGAGCCTCACTGCGGCAGAGACAGAAAGGTTATGGGGTACGCCTGGCTCCCGCCCCGCTACCCAGGAAGGCCTTTGCGCCCCCCTGGGTGCAAGCAGGAGCCAGGGAAGGGCCGAGCAGGGTTGTTCCGGCTGCCTCCTCCTCTTGCTGTTGCTGCTTGGCTGGGTGGGGGGGCTCCCCGCTCAATGGGGGACCCCAGCCGTGGCCCCAGCCTCTGGCAGCGGTGCAAGGCTCAAAGGTCACATCCAAATCGGGGATGGCCTGGGGATGGTGGCCTGGCCAAGGGCCCGGGCAGCTGCTGGGCTATCTTGGGCACCGGGCTGCAGGCACGGGTGCCCCCAGCCCAGCCCTCTGCCCCATCAGGAGTGGTGCCCGGGTGCAGGGAGAGCTCAGCCAGGGCGCCAGGCTGCCAGCCCTGGCACCGACAGGGCTTTTTTTATTTTCTGCTCATGACCTTCTTTTTCTCCTTGGGAGGTCTCGGGTTGGGGATATCCAGGAATCACCACAGGATGAGTTTCCTTCGGAGGAAGTGTGGCACCTTGCCCCGCTCACCACGGCAGGGGCACCCTCTCCCCTCGGGCACCGCTTGCCAAGCACGGCCCGGTGCAAACCTGCCACACTGCAGCCGGGGTCCACTTATTCAGGCTTAGATCCCCGCTCACAGCTTGGCGGGCAGATGCACGGCGAGGGGACAGGCACTGAAACAGGTAGGACATATAACGAGAGGCTGCTCCAGCATCCTCTGCCCCCCACCTCACATTTTGTTCCAATTTCTCCAGGGCTGTAAATATTTAACCCTTCCTCTCTGCTCACCTGGTTTCAGCCTGATACAACTTTCAACATCTTTGAGATCTTTGGAAACCGGGGAGGAAAAGGAAACCTTCAGGTGAATGATTTTGTGGGAATTTTTGCTCCTAGCCCATTTTACCACTGCTAACTCAGCTGAGCCCTGTATGGAAACATCCTCCGGAGCCGAGTCTGAGCTGGGGGAGATAAACCCTGCCACCCGGCGCAGGCGCTGCACTGCGTCGCTCTCATCTCCCAGGCCAGCAAACACCGCTTTGCAGGTCCTACCCCTCCATCCAGGCAGATCCCGCGACTGCCAAGAGCAAGGTGCCAGCGGCATCGGCTCACCCGGGCTAGAGCGAGGGGCAGGGGAGGTCTGGTGAAGGCATCTCCCCCATGGTCTTGTCGATCGACACAACTTTTGTCATCTCATTCCCTGGTTCTCCTTCCCCACTGCAGGCCCCTGCAGAAACCCCCCAAGCTCCAACATCCAAGTCTGCTCCCTGTTTTTCTCCGACACACAATACCAGCTTTTCTGCCTTCCTCTGCTGGAAGAAACACACTGCCTCCCGTTTCATCTGGCCCAAGAGGGATTTGGGGGTATTGTGCCTGGGATCCTGCAGAAGCCAAAGTGTTCAAAGGGGGATTAGGCGAATTCGGCATGGATAGGGCCGGCGTAACTATAAGCAGATGGTCTGGATACATCCCCTGCCTGGGGAAGTCCCAGTGCCCGTGGCTGCCAGGAGCTGAAAGGTATAAGAAGGAGCAGCCGTGCTAAATATAGCCTGGTCCTGCAAGTATCTGTTACTGGCCGTAGTCAGAAAGAGCCGCGCCGGCCAAACCACTCCAGATCAGCGCCGAGAGCCAAGGCGGGAGCAGGATGCGGCATCAGGACTGAGGGTCAGCAGGCGACAGGCACCCGGAGTCAAAACGGCAGGGCTGAGTGTAGCCAAAATGTCCTCAAATAAAGCAAGGCTTCCCCACAAGGGCATGCAACTTTGGGAGACGGCAGCTCTCCCTAATGCATCACTGGGTGCTGTGGAGGTCCTGGACCTGCTCTCCACTGCCTGTGCATGGCTTTCTATGCAAGGCTCTCCTGCAGGCACGGTGCAAAGCACGAGTTGGTTCCTCCAGGCTCCGAGCCGCAATAACCCCCATCTGTGGAGAACAGCATTCCCACGAGAGACAGAAGGACCCCCACCTTGCTGCAGGGAACAAGCCAGGGGCCAGAAAAGCCCCTCAGCAGCTGAGGTGCATCTCCCAGGGAAGGATGGAGAGGGATTTTCTGCCTCGCCTTGCCCATGCCCCTGGCAGCGGTGCCTCCTCTTCCTCTCGTTAGGGCTGGTCCGCAGCGCACAGCCTGTTCCAGCTCCTGGGTGGGTAATTAGCTGCCTTGTGCTGCATGCAAGGGAAGCTGTGAGCCCAAGTTTCCAGGCAGCAGGAGCAGTGGGGGGGTGAGGGTGTGGGGTGGGGGGGTGGTGAAGAGCCTCCTGGGTATAAATAGAAGCCAGATTGGGCTCGTTAGGAGCTCATGCCATTAACCCCTTCCAGCCCGGTGCAGCAGGGCTGCTCAAAGCCTGCCGTCTCTGC